ACTTACTTGGGACATACTTTTACAAGGAGCCAGTCCTTGGAAGTAGATAGCATTATGGGAAGGTAGAGAGCTAGAGGAATATCCTCAGTGAGATAGATTGACACAGTAACTACCACAGTGGACTTGGACATGAGGATAGTGTAGGATGGGGTAAGGTTTAGATCTCTTCATAGGGTGGCTTTGATTCATAGTCTACTTGATGGCATTTAACAACATTGGCAACACTTAGGCCAATTTGACACCAGAATGTCAAATGCCAGAGGAGTCACCCATGGTAGACAAGTTTTAATAGAACCCCTAGATTAAGCAGGAAGATTTGCCATTCACTTCTAAATAGTAAGCCTCTCAAAACCCTGTAAACAAAGGAACATGGATACATTGCTAGTTACATACAATGGGCATGTTGCTAGGAAAAACTATTTCTTGGAGAGGGACGTCATGCTTTGGAAGGTGGGGGATGGTGAAAGAGGAAGACCCTCGACCAGGTGAGTTGACACAGTCATTAGGAGTGAGCTTGAGTGTGTAGGAGATTGTGAGGATATCACAGGATAGGACAAAGTTCAGATCTGTTCACAGAGTCACACTATAAGTTGTACTCAACAGCACCTAGCAACAACATTGGTTATTTGTATTTTGAAGAAATGTCTGAATAAGGGCTTGCCTTAGTTTTTGAGTTGGAGGAATTCTTCATATAGTCTGGATATTTTGTGCTTATTGGGTATACAATTTGATATATATCCTGCTTGCTGAAACTGAGGAGGACCTAAAGTGCCTGCTGCAGAAGGTCAAGGACTGCAGCCTTCAATACAGATTGAAGCTCAACATCAATAAAACAAGAGAGTCACCAGTGGGCCAATTGGCAGCATCATTATGGATGGTGAAGAGATTGAGATAGTTAACAGTTTTAGTTTGCTTGGCTACACAGTTAACACTCTTGGTACCAGCAGCAGCAAATCAAGAGACTAATTGCATTGGGAGAGTCAGGTGTCAGGGACCTATCCAGAGTACTGAAGAGAAGTGACATCAGGCTGGAGACTAAGGTGTGCCTGATCCAAGCCATAGTCTGCATTTACAAGCGGCATCAGAAACCTAGACAATGACTGGGGATGATAAAAGGATAATTGATGCCTTTGAGCTGTGGTGTTGGAGAAAAGTATTGAATGTGTGGACTGCTAGGAGAAAAAACAGGTTTCCCTAGAGAGGGTGAGAGCAGGCTTCTTGGAGGAAAGGATTCTGAAGCTTCGTCTGACATACTTTGAACATGTTGCAAGGAGGGACCAGTCATTGGAGAGGGACAGCACAAGAGAAGAAGACCCTTGATGAGATGGATTGATTCATTGACTGGGGTAATGTGGGTAGGTGTGTCAGAGACAGTAAGATTGACACAGGATAGAGCAGGTTTTAGGGCTATTGTACATAGGGTCGCTATGAGTTGAGAACTCAGCAGCACCTAACATAGGTTAATGATGGGAACAGAGATTGTTAACAATTTCCGCTTCCTTGGGTGCATAATCAACACTCTTAGCATCAGGAGATCAAAAGACAAACTGCATTAGGGAAATCTGCTGTCAGGGACCTCTCCAGAATGCTGAAGAGCAACGATGTCTGTCTAGAGATGAAGGTGAACCTGATACAGGTCATGATCTTTGCAGTTACTTGCTATGCATCAGAGAGACAGTGACCAGAGGACAGAAGAATTGATGCCTTTGAGTTGTGGCACTGGACAAGAGTATTGACTGCCAAGAGAACAAACAGATCTGTCCTGGAGAAGGTGAAACCAAGCTGCTGCTTGGAGGCAAGGGTTTTGAAGTTCTTATCTCACATACTTTGGGCCTGTATCCAGGAGAGACCAGTCCTTGGAGAGGGACATCATTCTGGGAAGGGTGGAAAGACAGAATAGTGGAGGAAGACCCCAGATGAGATGGTTTGACACAGAAACTGGGGTAGTGAGGGTAGGTGTACCCGAGACAGATTGGCTTAGGATAGAGCAGGGTTCAGAGCTACCGTGTATAGGGTCACTACATGAGTCAACTCACATGACAATGATGTGAACATCATTTCATAGACTTATTGGCCAACCTGTCTTTATTGATACCTGATTATGTCTTGTCTAGTTTTTACGTGAAATGGTTGCAGTTTTTCCTTTTTACTGTTGAATGTTAAAGAATTTTTTAATATAGATACCAGTCTTTTCTAGGGAGCCTTTAGTGGCTGGGGGGTAAGGAGTTGCACTGCCAACTCAAAGTTATGTGGTTTTCATCCACTGGTTGCTCCGGAGAGAAAGATGAACAGTCTTCTGTGATACATTGCCTCAGAAAATGCACTGTGACTAAAAACCACTATTACCTTGGTCACCTGTGAGTCGATTCCAATTCAGTGGTTCACAACAAGAGTCTTTTCTAAGATTACTGATTTGTAAGTGCTATGTTCTAGTTTGTAGCTTTTTAACCATATCTTCAGCAAAGCAGAAGTTTTCACTTTTAAGTCTCTAATCCATTTTGCGTTAGTTCATTTTCTTATTAGACGTGAGACTTAGCATGAGACGTTAATTTGCTTGCCCATTCATGTCCAGTTTATCTCTCATTGTTTGTTGAAAAGGTTATCTTTCCACCATCAAACTGCTTTTTCATTCTTGTTGAAATCACTTGGGCTTATTCCCAGGTGGTCTTCTTTGTGTCACTGATCCATGTAGTCATCCATCTGAACTATCACACCATTTCTTAATTACTATGCCTATGTACTAAGTCTTAAAATAAAGTAACCTGATTCCTCCCACATTACTCTAGTTCCCTTGCTTTTCCACATAAATTTTAGGTTGATCTTTTTATCTACAAGAAATTTTGCTGGAATTTTGATAGGTACTTTATTGAACCTGTGTATCAATATGGGGAGACCTGGCATTTCACTCCGTCTTTTTACTTAGGGCTATGGGTTTTTCTTACCAAGATGTAGTTTTCTGCATACCGGTCCTTCCATAGTTTGTCAGGTTGTTACAGCTAAGTGTCTAACTTTTTATTAAGTGGTTGTGAAAAGTATCTTTCTGTATCCACATGTTCACTGATACTACTGGATTTTATTTTGTATCTTGAACCTTGTTTGTGTGTATGTATTTTGTGTGTGAATTTTGGATTCCCCCATATTTTTGTGTTTTGTTTTTTAAGAAATTTTTTTTAAGATTTTCAACATAGCTAAACATGGTATTTTCATATACTAATTCCTAGATCTTAGCCCTAAGGGTTCTGATTTAATCAGTCCGAACATGAGGATTTTGAAAACCTGCTGGTACTTAGAATTGCTTGGTAATTCTAATAGGCAGCCAGGGCTAAGAACCACGGCTTTCTGAATTTGTCCGCCAGTGAACAAAGCTGCTAAAAACAGATGCGTAATGAGTCAAGCTCTGGAGCCCTTTGTTACTCTGGCTTCAACCTGAGCACTGCCAACTGTGGAGGACAGCAAAGGCTGGTGCCAGCCCATCCCGGATATGTGGCCGTGGGCACATGTCCTCTGGCCTTGCCCAGCCCAGAACAGACCACGACACTGTGATGAACAGTCAGCCAGTTTTAATGAACAAAAATATTGATGTGTATAAAAAAGGGGTTCCCCCCCTCATTTTTTAGACAGTCTTGAACTTGTGTTCCTTGTGACTGCTCAGTATGGGCAGAATAGGTCAGTGTGAAAGAAAAGGTCTGTGGCCTCTGAAGTGGGGCCTGTTGGGTTTGTCCCATAGTAAGAACAGCCTGTGCTGGGGCCTGTAGGACCACCAGTGGGCTGAAAAGTACTGCTAAATGAATGATAAGCCAGGACCAGGTGAGGGAGGCCAATCCTTGGCCTTCTAGCCCTTCCCCCACATCACGGACCTCCCTTTGGGCAGAACTCTTACTTAAAATTCCATTTCTGGCCTTTAGGGACCCAGCCCAGCCAGCATACTAAAATCACAGTACAGATCTGCACCAGCGAAACAGAATAGAGAACGGGGAAAAGAAGGCACCTTTCGGAGAGTGAAAAGTGTGGTCCTAAACCTGCACCCACAACCGCACTAAAGGAAGAAGTGGGACTGCTCCATGTTGGAGTTCTTCAGTGTGCTGGCCTCCAAGGTGAGGGAGTGTAGAGTGCAAGGGAGCAGAGGGGGCCAGTAGCAGCATCATAGCAAGACATCCTCGGGAAAATTAGGATTACGGGCCACCTCCCCAAGAACTGGGTGGGCCACAAGCAATCATCACCACATGAGTCTGTCATCAGCTACAAGGACGGCCACAACCAGAGTGAGGTAGGCCTAACCCAACCCTCTAGCCACAGTATGCTCCAGTTGAGCACAAGGTTTCCCTGCTAAAGATTAGCTCCAGACTGTTAGTCTTAGGGCATCTGAGCAAACAGACTGGTATTCTGGATTTACGGCTGGGGGACAAGCCCTCCCAGATGGCCAGAATCCAGCTCCAGACTCCCTAAACCAAACTTGTCTGGAGCCACACCACACCTAATGGGGTTGCTGCCAATAGGAATGGACTTCCCAGAGAAGTCCTGGCCCAGGCACTGGCCCATGCTACAGAAATGCCCAGGCCTCCTTGGCTGCCTGCTGTGTCCTCAGTGGCAGGCCCTTGGAAATACTAAAGGCTTCTTGAATCTCCCAGACTTAGGGTCAGCTGACATTGAGAAAGTTGACACTCCACTCTGAGTAACTCCAGGCTCAGGAATCTCTGTTTTTCTGCTCCATCCTTGGTACCTTTTATCCACTGTCTCATCTGGACCCACTTTGTTTTCTTCTCACCTGCGGTCCTCAACGTCACCCCCTCCTGGCCCCAGCACTAGAGGGAAGTCAGGGAGACCTGCTTCCTCGACCTGCTAGGCCAGGGCTGTAACTCGGATCTGAGTGGGGAGGGAAGAATGCCCAACAGGGACTAGGGTGGATGAGCGAGCACCACATATGTAGATGCTTGAGTGGCACAAAGGTGAGAGTTGGGGGGTGGAATGGTGGTGGTGGTGACCCCGAGAATCTGCTGACATCAGCACCGTGTTCGAGGGTGCCCCACATGGGCCTGCAGTGCCTCTCGGATGCCCCGCTGCCAGTCTCTTGCCAGCTGCACTGGGGTCATGGATGCCTGGGAACAAAGGCGCTGGGTCAGGGGTCCGTAGGAACACCGCCCCGCCTCTTCCTGCAGGTCCTGGGCCCTGACCTCTCACTCACCGAGTTCTGCATGCTCAGCTGGGCTCCGTACAGCAGCAGTATCTTCATGGCTTTGTAGTGGCCGTGACGCACAGCCTCGTGAAGGGCTGTGTCTCCTTCCTGTACAGAATGGCCCATTAGCCCTGGGGACGTCATCTACTCTGCTTCATTGTGAAGGTCACAGAGCTAAGGGTCAGCCCAGCAGGGAATATCCCAGCAGATAGCAAGCCCTTGCCCTGGCTTTGGCTTCCTCAGTCAGTCCCTGGTGGAGGTGCAGCGCCCGAAAGTGATCTCACCTTATCCTGTGCATTGATGTGGGCTCCACACGCAATGAGGTGCTCCAGGCAGTCACAGTGCCCTGTCCGCACTGCCACATGGAGAGGGCTACTCCGGATCTGAGGACAAGGGAGTGGGAATCCATGCTGGCCCAGAGTGGCAAAGCTGTCCCCTACCTCAGAAAGACTGGGGTGCGCTCCCCTGTGTAGTGCTCACCCATCTGTTCTACATTATCACCCCAAAGCAGTACCCCTCACTCTGCCCCACATTGGTGTCCCTCACCTTGTCCCAGGCATTGACCTGGGCTCCCTGGTTAAGCAGCTGTTTGAGGATGTCAAGGTGTCCTCCCCAGCAGGCCCAGAACACTGGTGTCCTGTCCAGCTGCAGAACAGAAGCACCAGAACATTCTGACTTGCTGGGAGGTTGAGTGGCAGGTTGGCCATAAAAGTGGGCATTTCCAGGTCCTCACCAAGTCCCGAGCGTCCACACTAGCTCCTGCCTCCAACAGCTTGTTTACGAGCTGGGAATGACCCTTCAGACAGGCCCAATGTAAAGCCGTGCGATGAAGCTGGACAGGAGAGAGGGTGGTACAGACTCTTAAGCAGCCTCCCCATGATCCCTTCCCAGGACTTTTCCTCTGTCTCAGGGTACATCATAGGATTCATGCCCAGTAAGACAAAGAGCTGATCTCCGTGAGGCCAAGACCAGCTCAGCAGAGGTGGCATTCCTGCCGCTGTACAGGGACCAGAGCTGAGTGTAGCTCCGCCTCAAACCTCAAACAGTGCATCCCACCTTGTCGTGGGCGTCAGGGTCTCCTCCGTCTGCCAGGTACTTGTCAATCACAGCCTCCTGGTTCTCAGCAGCTGCTTTCAGGAACATCTCCAGGTCCACAGGCTCTAGCTGGACCTGGGGATGCAGCTGTAGAGGAAGAACATATCACCCCCCCCAAACCCATAAGCCCCTGTGACGTCATAGGCTCCTAGCCCAGTGGTTCACAGGTCCAAACACGGATTTTTTTCTCAATCCTGCCCACCCTGAAAAGGTGGCATACACCCTTCCTGATTTTGAACCATCCAGGGTTTCCTTGCTTTGTTCTGATGAGTGCCTCTTGGTTCAAGTATGGGTTTCACATGAGCACTATCAAGTGTTCTGAGATTCCCAGTCAAATGCCTTTGCATAGTCAATGAAACACTGAGATACATTCCTCTGGTACTTTCTGCTTTCAACTGAAATCTACTAACATTGACTATAATATCCTTAGCCTCTTGTAAACCCAGCCTGCACATCTGACAGTTTGCTGTTGATGTGTTGTTCCAGTCATTTTGGGATAATTTTTAGCAGAATCTTGCTTAGATGTGACATTAATGATTTGTTTGATAATTTCCACATTCTGTCAGGTCACTTTTCTTTGGAATGTAAACAAATATAGATCTCTTCCTGTCATTTGGCCTGGTGGTTGTCCTCCAGGTTTCTTGGCATAATTTGGTGAGCAACCAGGGTCGTGTTTGATGAAATATGTCAATTGATATGCCGTCCAGGAGGCTGGGCTCTACGAGGAGGCATTTAGCATCGGGATTAGAGAAAGACTCATCAACAACCTGCTTTATGCAGATGACACAAAGCTGCTTGCTGACACCTAGGAGGACCTGAAGTGCTTGCTGCAGAGGCTCAAGGACTGTAGTCTTCAATATGGATTGAAGCTCAACATCAAGAAAACAAAGATTCTCACCACTGGGCCGACTGACAGCATTATGATAGACAGTGAAGAGACTGAGATTGTTAACAGCTTTAATTTTCTTGGCTCCACAATCAGCACTCTTGGTACCAGCAGCCAGGAAATCAAAAGACAAATTGTATTGGGAAAGTCTGTTGTTAGGGACCTTGCTAGAATACTGAAGAGCAATGAGGTCAGTTTAGAGAGTAAGGTGCAATAGTCTTCACAATTACTATGCATCAGAAAGCTGGACAATGGGGAGAATAGAAAGAGAATTAATACTTTTAAGCTGTGGTGTTGGAGAAGAGCACTAAATATACCATGGACTGCCAGAAGAACAAACAGGTTCGTCCTGGAGAGGGTGTAAACAGGCTGCTCCTTGGAGGCAAGGATTCTGAAGCTTTGACATACTTTGGACATGTTGTAAGGAGGGACCAGTCCTTGGAGAGGGATGTCATGCTTGGGAGGGTTGAGGGACAGCACAAGAGAGGAAGACCCTTGAGATGGATTGATTCAGTGACTGGGGAATTGAAGGTAGGTATCTTAAGAGATGATAAGGTTGGCTCAGGACAGAGCAGGGTTCAGAGCTGTTGTACATAGGGCTGAGGAGTTGCAAGTGACTCGATAGCACATAACAGTGCCTGCCTCGGAGATTCTAAGCAGATGAGGATTCTGGAGTGTATTTTCTCACCAGTTTTCTGCACCAGCATGCAAGTGCTGCACCTGTTATCCCCCAGTTACCCCACAAGGAAGCACAGCTCTTCCTGTTTGCTCTCGCCCCGGCTGGGTGCTGTCCTCACCACCCCTAGGTCCTCACCTTAACCACGGGCTCATGTTCCCTGGGGGGGACTCTTCGTTTCAGTCGTTTTCTTCGTCTTTGAACCAAATTTTCCAAGTCCATGAGGTTCTCCAGGTTGAGTCTAGAGCTGTTGAATCGTTCAAGCTGGAACAGCAAACAGGGCAGAGAACAGTCCTGGCTTGAGGAGGACCTGCCTGCTCAGCCCTGGGAGCCCTGGGAAGATTCCTGGGCACAGCCTCATCACCGGACAAACAGCAGGAATGTGAGCTGCATGGTCCTGGTGCACTGAGCACATGCAGACTCCCCACCCCTGGGCCTTTCACTTGGGAGCACCCCTCCCTCACTCCCTCCCTCTGCGGCCTCTCACTTTCTTCTTCTTCTTCTCATCTTCCAGTCTCTGCCTTTCCCGGGCCATGGCCTCATGAGGTCTCAGCTTCCAGTCCCCAGGCCAGCCTCCAGGATCAGGAATGCCATGTCCGTATCCTAACACTTTACTTTCGCCTCTCTCTCCACTTACCTAGAGGGAAAGGATGGGGACAGAATCAGAATTAGAGACGCCCCAGCTGTGCTGTACTACTGAGATCATGGGCAAGAGCTGGTGTGTGTGCTGGATCTGAGCGTTGGACTGCTCCTTCCCAAAGCTTTGTGGAGACAGTGCTGTTGACAAGCTCACTGAGGCTCATGGTTGGCCACCTCACAAATCTACCCTCTCACCAACTGATGTCACACGAGGCTCAAGAGGTGACTTGTCTGCCCCTCCCCTGCTCCAGTCACAGGAATCCAGGCAGGCTGTGATGCTGTGTCTATTCATAAGGCTGCACTCAGCTTACCTCAGAGCCAGTGACATCCTAGCCTCCCTTAAGGGTTGCTGACCTTAAATTGCCACCAGATCACACTCCATGCCACCGGCCACCGAGCTCCCAGGGTCCGAGGAGACTCCTCCCCAGGAAAAAATCTAAAGCCACGTATGAAGCTGTTTTTCCATTAATAAAATAAGATTTTAATAATACTCCTCTCTAGGAATTGTGAAGATTAAATGAGCCACTGTGACTGACAGATCCTACCATAGCAAACATTCACTCTTCTCGCCCCTCAGTTCCCACCCCGGAATGAAAATAGCTGGGAACAACAGAGGAGTAAGCAGGCTGAGGGGGGAGAAGAAACTAAGGTGCTAAGAGAACAGAGCCTATGGCTTCCAGCTAATAATAGTGTCCCTTCTAAAGCAAACTAGCACCTTGTCTCGACTTTGAAGTACTGCCTGCCAGCTGAGATTTCCCATCCTGAAGTCAGCTGAGAGATCAGCAGTGTCTTCAGATGCCCACTGTCCTAACCTCCTGACACACCTCCTAATTTTTGAGGACAGATGCAACCCAAACATGTCCTGGGGTGCCTGGGCCCCCCTGAGGCTGCAAGTAGCTGGGACACCCTCTGTAGCCCACCCCCAAAATCGCAAGACTAAAAATCCCACAGCAGGCTACAAAAACACCTTTCTCATCTACCAACACAGCCAGACCCTCTGGGCCATTTTTGTGCAGCAACTACCACAGCTCCTGAATGAACACTCAAGGTCCACAAACGGCCTCCAAGGTCATCTAGAACTCCCCTTTCAACAACACAATCGAGGACTAACCATGACTGTTGTGTAGGAAAGTATCTAGCATCAGTGTCACCTCTGAGCTCCAACCAAGTCCTTACCTCCTTCGAGACATGGTTAAACGGGCATGCTTTCTTGCTCCTAAAATATCTGTAGACTTCAAAAAAGACCTTTCTGACTTGCTCTAGCTAAACCTCATTGCTCTACTAGGACTGTGTTCCCAGCCTCCCATCTCTCTACCTCCTTCTTACCAGTTGCTGAATGCTGATGAAGTCCATGGTACCCCCACCCCCACCCCGCTCTGCAAATCCCTCATGAGGGAAGCAGAGCCGCTCAAACCTTTTATAGCGGTGCTGTCTCTTGCAGGTGAGGGGGCAGGGAAGGACAGCAGCTTGCCTCTGAGCCAGATAGCTCTGTGACTCTGTAACAGTCACCAAAATATCAGTCTGGGAATGCAGACCGCTGAGGCAGGAAAAGCAGTTTTGAGCTGAATCAGCAGCATCTTCAGATACTCACTATCCTAACCTCCTGCCATACCCTGGATGCAACCCAAAACACAGAGGTCCTGGAGTGCCTGGGCCACTAGTTCACGTTCAGGGGGAAATAGTTCACATTTTCCTAAATCTTCCGAAGATGCTCTTCTTTTTGTTAGGTGCCGTCAAGTTGATTCCTACTCTGTTGTTATGTTCCATCAAAGTGATGATGACTCATTGCACTCCTGGGATCAACAGCTCTGAATCCTGCCCTTCCCTGCACCATCTTCATCACCTCCGACGTACTTGAGCCCATTGTTACAGTCACGGTGTCAATCCTTGTTGAGGGTCTTTCTCTATTTCGCTGACCCTCCACCTTCTCAAGCATGACGTGCCTGAAGCATGTGAGACAAAGCATCATGCCAGCTCACAATGGTGCTGTACACAGCAGCATGAAACAATGACTAGTCTTCAACATCCTCACACTTGTTGCTGTAGAAGTCCAGTGCTGCAGCTGCTGTGATAATCTATCTCTTTGAGGGTCTTCCCATCTTTCACTGACCTGTTTTGTCAAGGGCGGTGTGAGTGGGCCCAGCACATCCAAAATCCATGACATGCAATCTTGTCGTCCAATTCTAAGAAGCATTCTGACTTTGCATCTTCCCATATAGATCTGTTTCTCCTCCTGGGAGCCAATGGTCCCTAACACTGTACTTCAAATACATCAATTCTTTGGTCTTTTTACTCACCATTCAGCTCTCGAATACATAGAAGGTGACTGAAAAACACCTCCATGGTTTGGGCCGAGGGCTAACTTTTGAACAGTTTAAGGAGGTCTTTTGCAGTAGATCTGCCCAAAGCAATGTCACAGATTGCTGCTTTCCAGGGTACCGATTGTGGTTCCAGGCAAATGAGATCTGTGAGAATTTCAATCTTTTCTGATTATTTTGAATTCCAATATAATGACTTTTCCTTATGTAGAGGTGTAATTAATATTGTAGACTGTAGCATTCGATCTTTATCAGTGTTTCGAATCCGTTTAGCTGTCAGCAAGAAAGGTTGTATCATTTGCATATTAATTAAAGAGTCTTCCTCTAATTTTGTTCTTCATATAATCAAATTTCATGGACTATGTTCTCACCATAGATTGAATAGTATGGTGAGAGGTTACAAACCCAATGCACACCTTTCCTGATTTTTCCTGTATACCCATGCTAGGTCTGAACTGCTTGTAGGTGTGTGTACAACTAAGTGTTGTGGAATTCTCACTGTTTGCAATGCTGTCCATGTGGTATGATCCACACAGTGTTCTTCAGGAAAAGCCTGGGAAATACAGTGAAGGGCTGCTGAGTCAGAACAACAGAAAGGCAATGTGTTAGTTCCGGGATCACACAATCAAATGGCTTTGCACAGCCAAAAAAAGCACAGGTAAATATCTTTCTCCTATTTCCTTTTTTTCCCCCAGCCAAGGGCCATCTGATATCAGCAATGATCTCCTTGTTCCATTTCCTCTTCTGAATCTAGCTTGAATGTCTGCAGCTCCCTGTTGACACAATGCTGCGGTCAGTTCTGAATTATCTTTAGCGAAATTTTACTTGTGAGAGTCATACCACTCAGTAATAGCCACATACTGCTGGTTCACCTTTCTTTGGAAGAGACAAAAATATGGATCTCTTCCAGTTTGATTTTCAGTTGCTGTCTTCCAAATCACTTGACACAGATGAATGAGGGCATCTAGTATTGTGTCCATCTGCTGAACTTCTCCACAGGCATTCACTGATTCCACAACCCTTTTCTTCAGTGAAGTGTGGTCTTCATAAAGTACTATCAGCTGCCTTCAGAGATGGTTGTACAATGACTAATTATTTTTGGTACAATCTTCCTTTGATATTTCCTACACCAATTAGTATTTTATTAATTGAATCAGCACTGTAACTTGATGCTTGATCTTTTTTTATTCATTCCTTTCTGCTGGATAAATGGTGACTGTTTTCTTGCCTCCATTTTCTAATACTAGGTCTTTGAACATTTCATTATACCTTATTTTGCTTTCCTGAGCCACCTTTTGGATTTTTTTTAAACCACATGGAAGTTTATTAGATGTTCATAACTGACTCTAAACGACTCAGGAAAGTCTGAGATATACACAGCTTTTTGGTGGTGCACAACTTTTGATGGTTTTATGCCGTATTTGTCCTTTTGTAACTGAGATACTTCACTCAGCATGGTGTTCACTTTCTTCCTTCAGCATTTCTTCCTTTTGCTTTGGCTTCCCTACACTCTTGTGCAAGTTTTTGAATCTCTTCTGACATTCATTTTGGTCTTGTCTTTCTTTCCTGCCTTTTTTAATGACTTCTTGCTTTCTTTATGTATGGTGTCCTGATTTCATCTGACAACTTATCTGTTCTACATTCAGTACTTCCTCATGCATCAGAGCTATCTTAGAGATGATCTCTAAATTCAGGTGGAATATACTCAAGGTACTTTATACTTTGGCTCTCATAAGCTTTTAAAATTTTTCTTCAGCTTCAACTTGAACTTGTGTATGTCCTACAGTTGGTCTCTGGCTTTATTATGACTGATAATTTTGAGCTTCTCCATCATCTTTTTCCATGTTGTTGTTGTTTGGTGCCATTGAGTCATAGACGACTCATAGTGACCCTATGAACAAACAGCCTGAGCACTGTTTGTACATAGAGTTTCCGGAGGCAAGCCATTTCGGAAGTGGATGCCTCTCCTGCTTCCAGGCTTGATTTAGTCGGGAAGCTCCAGCCAACACTGTCCACCATGGGTACCCATTACCATGATTGGCACATCACTATCACAGTCTTCAGCATCACAGCAACCATGAGTAACCTCTCTACAGCAACACACAGACCAGTGCTATACCACCTAGAAGAATGTTTGACAGGAAAACAATTTGAACCTGGCCGAGGGCCGCAGATGAAAATCACGCACCTTTGGCTTGGTAGCATAACTTCCTTTCCACTAGGCCAATGTAGCTCTCTCTTTTTCCATAGAATAGGCAGATTTATTCCTGTATATTCCATTTGGCAAGGGCTACATGTATGGTCACTGTTTATTGTTGAAAAATAGTATTTCCAATGAATATATTGCTGGTCTTGCAAAATTCTATGCTACAGGCTATCTCCAGCACATTTCAGTCCTCACAGCTGTATTTTCCAACTACTGATTTTTCTTTTTTCCCAACTTTTGCATTTCATCCACCAGTAATTATAAATGCATCATGAATGCACATCTGAGCAACTTTAGACTGCAGAAGTTGGTAAAAATATTCAGTTTCTTCAACTTTGAGACAAGTGTTTGATGTGTAAATTTGAGTAGTTAATTGGTCTGTCTTGTAGGTGTCTGGATATTATCTGATCATTGATGGGGTTATACTTCAGAATAATTCTGCAGTGTTCTATCTCTTAATGACTGCAATGCTTTTTCTTTTCAGTTTGTCATTTCCAGCCTAGTAGAACATGATTGTCTAATTAAAAATGGGCAATTCAAGTTCATTTCATCTCACAAGTGTTGTGGACAACTATCTAGTACCTACTTATAGAAAAATTAAAGCCTAGCCTCTATGTAATTTTTTTATCTAACTACCTGAGAAATCTAAAAGCCAAAATACCTTAGAAAAAGAGGAGAGAATTCACAAAAGTCCCTGTAGGGGCGATCAAAGTGACCTGCCTCCAGCGTCTTTAGAGCATCGAGCTGAGGGAACCAGGCTTCATGTGATTTCTTGACTCATCAGCTTCAGAAGTTCTCTACTGCTGATTCTCTTACTTCCCTTTACAGTTCCTGTGTCTCCTCAATCAATCTGAGAGGCAAGCTATACCACCATCAGAAGCAAAGTACAGCCTTTATCAGAACTTCTTGAAAAATCTCCCATGATTCCCTCTACCGCTCTTTCTCTCTCCTTCCCCCTACTCCCGTTCTCTGTCTCCCAGCTTGGAGTGTGACCATCCACAAAGAAAGTGACATGAGGATCTGTTCCAGGTCTGAGTACCTAATATGAATTTAATCTGTCTCAAGTGAAATGGCATTTCCTATTTCCCCCTAACAAGTCATGCATGTCCTTCACCCAGTTGTGCCTTGACCTCTAAGAGGAAATCAGATACCTTGTAAATAAGATTCCAAAATCAGAACAGTATGAGCCAAGCTGACTGAAACAAGCAGAGAAGACCATGATCCCGAAGAGTAGGGCCTCCCAAAGACTTTTCAGGCCCATTAAGAGGTGCCTGCCTTTTCATCAGTGTTAGGGAACTTCCAAGTGTGAGGGAACTTGGAGAAACACAGGGCCTAAATAAGTAAAATCCAATTCTTACGCATCAGGGCATTGCTGCCTTTGATTATATGAGAAGAGGAAGAAAAAGATTTATCTAGAGTAAGAGCAATGAGACAAGAAAACGAAGACCTACTCTGGATGCCACTGTGCACCCCAACTTCAAAATTCCTCTCCTTTAACATTTGAGGAAAAGTATTTTACATAAATCAGTTTAATCAGAAATTCTCAGCAAAAATTGTAGTTCCTTCTAAATGACACTAATTGATATTTAACATTAAAAAATTGTTTTATTCATTGTAAAAAAGTTCAAACATTGGTGTTAAAGCAAAAATTCCCCAACTAGCTATTTTCCCCCCTGTAGTTCAGAGGAAACCATGGGGGCCAGTTTAACACACACCCTCTGGGCTTTGTCCTGTGTATTTTGTGTAACTTCATACACATGCTTCCATAGGCATATTTTAAGAAGAATCCCACTGTAAACACAATTTGGTACTCTTTCCACACCAGCACA